ATTTGAACACGGGCCACATTGGTGGGAGGCGAGTGCTCTCAACACTGCGCCACCCTTGCTCTCCCAGTACACATTCGATTTAAAGCGTCATATTTTAGCTGCCTAGTACAGTAGGAACCCGGAAATAAAAGGAGACCGTGGTGCAACTGATGACATTCTTCTCTCCCGATTATGGTTAAAGTTACAATATTAATTAAAAGTTTGTGTACCTCGCGGTTCCCTTTTTGGGCCCCTCCATTTAACATTTTTATTAGCGATTTGAATTTGTTCATTCCTTCCATGTCGTTAAGATTCTGTACAGATGATACAACAGGATCATATAGTCACATTGCAGCTGTGTACTGTATTTTTTATGATAAATCTTGTCGTTGTAAATATATTTTAATTCTCTATATTTTTAATATAAATATTCTATGTTGACACGTATGTATTTTCAACAAACTTATTTGCTCAATAGACGATACGAGGTAAATACACGATTGTAATATTTTGTATTGTATTGTACCTGAGTTTAGTTATAGCGGACGACTTTTCTGAGTCCCTTTGATTCTGTAGTAGAATAATTTTGCTGTACACTGAAAGAAATTTCGCACAGTCATTTCCTCGCCTTCGTCTTTATGTTCCATGGCACTGCTCGCGAACTTAAGCCCCCTTAGCTAGCCCACTTATGTGCTTTTTCATGTTTGTTATGGTATTTTCTGGATAAACTATCTCACGAAATCTTTGTAGTAATGCGTTGTTAAAGAGTACGATAACAATGCATTTTAATGATAAAGTAATTAGGCTTGAACGGAAAAAAAATCTTCCATTCAATGAATCTGTGATGAATCCACGATGACGCCTTGGCGTTACACGAAAGCGTTTCGCCAGCAACCCCATATAAACGTCTTCAAGCTTTAGGGGACTCCTGGTATGAAATACCCCTACAAAAGCTTTTAGAACGTAATGAGATAAAACATATGCTGGACCTAAGCAAAATCTTGGCTACAGCTCAGTATAACAACGCCCACTTCCCCTCTCTTCTTGGATATTCTCGCTTTGGAAGACAATTTCCCAGATAAAGCTTACTTTTCGGCGTTTGTGAACTTCTTAACTGAGCTATCAGAGTGAAGGGGTTGATAAAAAGATCGTCATAAGCCTTCAAGAGTAAACAAAATCAAAGCCCATTTGAACCTTCAACGTAAGATCGTAGTAGGAGTCTATCTGGCTTCCTCGTACAAGATCGCCTTGTCAGTATTGCTGCTTCATTGACTAAATACTTATTCGCTGATGGGTGTCGTGCTTGACCAATTGGTTTCCAAGATTTATTTATGCTATGATCGGTGCCCCAAGTTTGGCGTATCACTTTTCTGTTTGAAAATTCAGAGGACTGGATGGAACTAGGATCAAAAGTGGAAATCTTTCAACCTTACCCTTGTTTTGAGAAATGTCCGATGTTTAAATAAATTACAAATGTTGTTTAAAACTGTTGTCATCGTTGGTGTTGTTGAAGATTTTTTAACAATGCATGATATCGCTTGAATGAAGCATCTCCCTCTTTGTGACAATTTCCTTCTCACAAGGACAAAACATCGTATCTCTGTTTTCTTTTTGAAGCCTTAAGCGACTCTTTGAGGGAAGACTTGATGTATAACTGAATGCGTGAAGAGCGTCATGATATAAGAGCAATTCAACCAACGTAAAGCCAAAAGTCGCGATCACAAGAAACTTGCCGATGGTTTTAATGACTAGTTTTCCTAAAAGGGCCAACAATAAAACAAGTGTCCTCAGTCAGTATGTCTACCTTATGTCAATCATGTTCTCCTCTTGTTTGCTACATTGACAGTCGGTAATTAAAAATAAACGGAACAAGTTTTACTTAGGTAAGCTAACATCGATAACCGCTCTTTTTTTAAATTTTTTCTTTAGCCAAATGTACATGAGTTGCATAGAACCGACTTCCATTGCTTGAAAATAGAAATCCGTTTGAAGCTTATCTTGTCTGTCAAGAACTATAGCCTAGGTGTAGTCCTCATTTTCCCTCAGGGATAGTAGAGTGAGTGAAATACGTGAGCGCGCGAGGAAACCGCTACCCGCGAGAAAGGTGAAGCCTGTTTCAAACACCGTGCCACTGCCGTACTAAAGTCGAATTTAATTCGGTCAGTTGACTTCAGAACGGCAGTAGCACGAAGTTTGAAACAGGCCTGACAAGCGGTCGGAATTGAGAATTTTTTTACACTTCTCCTTTCTTCTCGTTTCCCCACGCCTTTCCGCGGTGATTCTCACGCGCGCTGGAGTAATTCGCATCCCTGATAAAAATTAGGGACAACTCGTATTCCAATTAACAACCCTGAACGATAAAGCAAGTTAAATTCCTCCCTCAAAAATGAGAAAGTCTCTAGGAGGGGGATGGGGGAGGGAAGCCTCGGAGAGCCCCTAGGGGAACAGGGGTGCTTCACGTGCTTGCCGTCTCCTTTAAGGGTCTAAATCAGTTAGGGTATTTTCCTCATGGTATTATCTTTACTATATACATACTCAGACATAAAATATTTTGGCAGCCTTTTATTTCAAATCTTACCAAAATGCTTAAATAACAAAACAGGCAGCTACATACCTTGAAATGGCAAAGAAAACTACATGATATTTCAAAAACCAGTAAGAATTTTTTTTTAAAAAAAATTAAAAGTATTAAGGAGGTAATGTAGGAATTTTATTTCAAGTAATCTTATCACTTGGTCTTCTGAATCTATAGATAAAGATCAAATGCCAAATCAGTGGCAGTTTTATCGAAAAGGTCGGTTTGAATAACAATAGACAAAATAGTGGAACTCTATCTAACGTTTCGTTCTGTTTTCCCTTTCCACCGTTGTTTTGCATGCTATCTACAATTTTCCTCTTTTAACTTTGAAGTACACGCAATTTCCATGTACTGTCCAATTTCCGAAGAGTTGTTAACTCTTTTCTACAGGAAAAACTCTCCTCTGTAAGCTTTAAGTCTCTTTAGCTACAAATGCTGTCGTTAAATGACTGAGATTCTGATTGGACGAACCATTACTTCTCAGATGTGAAAAACATAGAAAACTCATTTGCGTATGAAAGTTTTATACGACATAGCATTTTGTTGTGTATATTTCAGTATGTTTTACATAAGGTGCTCTTCCGAACAAACAAATGTTTGTTCTGTCAACTCTGAGTTGACCCAAGGCAGTTAAGAGACGTTTTGATTGTTCATGAACGGTCACCTCATTGCAAAAGAAATAGTAGGATAAACGACACAGTTCCAAAATTGTTATATAGTCAGGTTACTCCAGCAAGTGGCTGGGATCCAGGGAGAAAAGTGTATGTAAGTACGAGGACTCTCAAAATTAAATTTACTTTACCCTTATTAGCATCTAGTAAATATTAAACGCTGAGACAATTAATTTCGGCTGTCGGCAGGTAGCCGCATCTGTCGAGGAAGGAAGGGCCCATTCCAAAACTGTTTAAACTGTTTAAACAGTCAGTTTACTTACAATACCAGAAAAGAAAAATATTCATCTAGTGTAAAAACTAACAACAACAAGACACGTTTTTACAGATTTGCTCCACAGCCGAGATACGTATTACCTGAAATATGCTAGTTTAACAAAAAGCTGCCCTGATACATATAAGCATGGAAAGTTTCAAGTAAACACTCATTAAAATAAGGAATATTTACACTGAAAAGAAGCAACTAGCTGTAACAATTCACACTGGACCCTGCATTTATTTGTTTTCTTATTTCATAAATTTTCTCAAAATTCAGTAAAAAGGGGATATTCAAACCAGTCACCCGCATGAAAAAGGTTTAATAGAAGACGGGGTAAGGCTGATTAAGAAAACTGCGTGTATCTCTGGGAAATTGTTAGCAACGCCACTGAAATCAGTGCCAGTCTCTGCATGAGCCTGGTTGCTCTTTATAAAAGAAAGCCGTCACACCTATGCCACTTCTAAATGTTAGGGCGTCGTCGGGATTATTCTACTGTCAGAAATTAACTTCGATTTCCGGCTTACACCTCGCTTTGCTAAAATCGTAGGTCTTAGAAGAATTGTACAATGAGAAAAAGAAAACAGCTCCGCCGAGAGTGGAACCTACAATTCGGGACGTTAGAACTTGGGTCAATTGAAGGAATAACGTTGACATGTTTTGCTCGACCTCCTTTTTCCTATTCCCTCAATGTTGGCCTCGAACTTGGACAATTCCACCAAAAAACCATTTCAAAACAACATTGGAAGAGAGAAAGACATGTATCAGAGCAGTTTGACCCAAGTTGAGTGTCAGAGATTGTAGGTCCAAGACTCTGTAGCATGATACCAAGCAAGGACCGATCGGTTGCCAGTCTTAAGCAGTTTAAGACCCGGATACGCAGTCTTGATTTAAGTAACATTTTAGATTTGTAGTATGTATGTTAGTGACTTATCACAAGAGAAAATGAGAGATCATTCTCTCTTGTTTATCATTAGTAGTTTTTAATTCTAACTCTTAGCAGATTCTAGTTTCGACTCTATATTGATTCGTTTTGTATTTTTAGATTGTATTTTATAGAAGGTTAAATGTCCCCTATTAGCAGTGGGGAATCCAGTGGGGAATACCCTCTGCTAGATTTTTGCTTGACTCGTTAATAAAGTCATTGTTATTATTACTATATAGACGGCACTTTTAATTCGTTCATTACTATTTTTTTGCATTGAACATTCCTTTTCTTACTTTTTAAAGTGCCGAGCAGCTTATGGGATTTTTTCCCGTTATTTGTTTGATTAACAACAAGTTTTCACACAGGATGCAAATGAAAATCAACATGTTTTGTAATTTGCAAGACGTTTGCAGTCAATTTAAGTTAGTTAGCAGCCTTTATGAAGGAAAGAAAATTCAACTTAGTTTAACTTAACGTCTTTTAAACATGCTTAATAAACTTCGGTGTGAATGAAGCCTATGTCTAACCTCCTCATACCTTTCTATAGAGGAGTTAATCTCTTCCATTTTAAACAAAGGATAACTTTTTCTATCTGATTAAAGAGGTAAGATAAAGATTAAGAACCAAAATGTTCCCTTCCTCGGCATTTTTTGAATAGAACTCATTGCGACATTTGGGGCACTTTGCGTATGACAAAGTTCCGGTAAACTCCATCACTGGTGATGTCTTGCTGCATTTGGGGCACTTGAATTCAGCTCGCTGAAGACTCGGCAAATCTTTCATTAACTTTCTGGCAACTTCGGATCCATGTTTCTCGTAACTGGATTTTTCTTCTACTGTCAAATCTTCTTTTTCACAGAAAACGTCAATAAATTCCAATCCAAGAACGTCTGCGTTCTGCACTTTGAAAAATCCTTTGTTTCCCCAGGAATCTCCCCAAGAATTCAGCAGTTGTAGACACTGGCTGTCGACACTGGTCAACACAACTGCATGGCCAATGGTAGGAGTATTGGAAAGACGGGCTGCTATGTCGATCTCCGCCTTCGTCAAAATACCTTTTGGGTTTCTTCGAAAGAAGTTTCCAAAACTTTTCCATTCAGGGTCAGTGAGCCGAAATGTTGCCACTACTGGGCGACTTGAAGTGATCGCTTCCATGGCACCTTTGAGGTCAACTTCCTGGCACCGCATACGGTACTTTGGGCACATCTTCTGCAGCACATGGAAGGTACTGGCTCCGTCACTAGATCGAAAACGATTGGTAAATTCTTCTCTTAACTTGTAGAAATCTGGACATTCGCCTTCGCGTCCAAGAATTCGTTTCATGGACAAATGAAGAATTGAAGCAGCTGCATTTGCATAGCAGGTCGCCCCTTTTTGCTTTAATTTTGCTTCATAGCCCTCTAATTGTTGGTTAATGTAGAGATCTAAGTCGACGACTGCAAGCATTTCGGATAGCGCGTCTTGAGAATAAACGACATCACGAGCCACTTGGCAAGCCTCTCGCAAGTTGTCTGGATGATTGACCTGCAAGAACAAGTGTGTTTCATTGTTGGTGATATCGATGGTCCAATCACGTTTAACAAACATAGTGCGTGGTAGCGATTGCGTGGGCTTCTTTGAGCTCAATGAGAACAGGAACTTTGCACCGGGATCCCAGTCAGGTCCTTCTTCGCTGTAGAGTCGTTTGGGGTCAATCTGCGTAGAGTCAGTGACAAAGCAGCTCACTACGGTCACACCTGCTGTGTTTAAATCACAGACCACTCGATCTATTCTTGTACGATCAGTAGTATCTCCATCTGAGGGACTTCCGTCTGACAAGATGAAAAGCAACTTTTTGTGACTGGAAAACCTAGAGGCTTGAAAAAGTTTATCGCCTTCTCAATGGACTGAAATAAAGGCGTTTCACCGTAAATGTAAGGCTCGACACTTTTCAATAATTCCTGACTCCTTTTTGGGGAGAGTTCTTTTTCATCGACACACCCATGAAGAACATTTGAGGCATCTTGAACATTGGAAATGGAATTAACAGTCACACCCAACAGAGCTACTTTTTCTTTCGCTTCTTTCAGCAAATAAGGCTTAGCCTTATGAACTACTTCCCTGATGTCTGCAACTGTTGCTCTTACAAAGGTGGTTGCTACTGACGCATACGCACTTTGCGCTGCTCTTTTAAGATAAGAAAGGCCTAGCATGTCCTCCAGGGGGCTTTCTGGCCAATCCCGGCAAGCTTCTGGTAAAAAATCTTCAACAAATCTTTTGAGAAACGACTTGTCAGATTCAAATTTGCTCAGTAACAAATCAGCCTCTCTATATTCCAATGCCATGATGGCATCTTCTTCCGCTGCCCATTTGTCAACAGTTCTTGCGCCGGATCTTTTTAATATTTCGAAAATCTTCTTTATTTGCCAACTAGTAGCAGGCCCCTGAACATCATTCTCAGTTTTTTTGTCTTCATTCTGAATCTGTTTAAGAGTTCCTATGATATCAAAAATGTCCTCACCAGTACAAGCCCCAACGCCCATTGCAAATACATGGTTTTCAGAAGAAACATCGTACTTGATAAGGTTGTCAATAACCTCAAAGATCGAGCGAGCCCATGGGGATGGTCCTCCATCATCATCAGTATCCCTTTTAATGTAACGACTCATGGAACCAGAGACATCAAGCAGGATTCCAGTTAAATATTCCATATTTCCTCTCTCTGCAATAAGAAAAGCTTCGATATTTTCCCCTCAAGTTCAAACAGAGAACAGAACAGTACTAAATGAGCCATGGAATGAGGTAGAAACTGTGTTATCGGCTATTGTAACAATCTAATGAACCAGGCAGGTGTTGGGTAGGCGAAACCAGCATCAGGATCAACTTATAATTGGTTATTGTGTTATCCTTACCTGAAACTAATTCTGGGCTATTGTCGTGTTTATTAGTGCATATCAATAAAACGTCCTATAAGCAAGGAACAGTTCTGACATGCATTGCAATAGTTTTCAACTCGTGATTCGAATTTAAGGGGGTTGAATTTTGGTTGGTCGGTAGATTGGTCGGTCGGCTTTTGCAAACTTACGCAAACTATGACTGAACGAAATTCTAATAGTCACACGATGAGCATAAGTTTTATTTCGGACGATGACTAGTGAAGCATAATTTCCACCTCGTTCTGGAGTAAGTAATCATTTTATCGCTGAAAGGTAAAAACGTTGAAGAACGCTTGACCGTCATTGAAGTGAAAGGGAACGAAAAGCTTTGAAGTTTTCTTGATCAATGTCCGCGGTGCCACTTTTACCACTTAATCTAGTCATAAACACTATTCAAACTGTTCTAAAGTAACTATACAATCTTATTTTATAAGAACCTTTTACAAGAAGGTTGAGGCTAGGAATGAAATAAATTTGTAAGTACAATGATTTTGTAAATAGTTTTTATCATTTGAGATATCCTGAAGAGAAAAAAATAAAGTTATCTTAGTTATCTTATCCTGTTATATTCCTAGACTTTCACTCTACTAAACAGGGACAGCAATTGGCTGATTCTTGGTCACATGGCCTTGACTAAAATCAAATGTAAGCCGATCCTGATACAACGTGATCAAAGCATGGTGGAAAAGTGGCGTGACGGAAGGCGGGAAAAACACTGCCAGTTTTCTTTTTCGTAAATGAACACAACAGGTTCATGTTTGAACACAAATATGAAGCCTAAAGCTAAAAAGCAACGATTTTCAAAGTTATCCGAGAAGAGAAACAGCAGCTAGTGGAGGAAAAAGATGTAGATGATATAAGGATAGTATGCTTTGTAAATCATTCAATCAGTGGTTTTGGAATTAAATTTGTGTTCTTATAAGTACCGAGTCGACTGTTTTGATCCGCTCCGCTTAACCGTAATCTTTTGTTGCTGTTGAAGTACGTTGAAGTGAAAATCTAGAAATATAACAAAACACTTAATGTCAGGTCCCTTGGGAAACCAGTTAGTTTTGTGTTCCCTCGAGTCCTGTTTCCCTTGGGATCCGACATTAAGTGTATATTATCTTTACCTTTAATAGACCCGAGAGAGAATAATGGGACAGAGAGGGAAACGCCCAGTTTAGCCCTTGGGATATTTTTATTTCATCAGGCAAATCTAACGCTTCAAATGATCAGGAATTTGTTTCCCGCGGAGGTCCGCAAACTTTTATTCCGCGTCGTTTAACGAGAATTCAACAGTCGCCATTAAAATATTCTGCATTCTTTGCCTTGAGGAAGTCGCAGCGTAGACTTGTTTACGTTCCAAAGAATCTATTCAAATGTGCGGACGTCTCAGTAATTACACTTCCGTTTATTTACAACCTCTTTTCTTTCTTTTTTATTGAAATTCACATATCCCAGCCAACGCCCTAAGATTCCCTCTCTGCCCTATTATCCTCTCTTTCTAGAACATAGCGTGACACAGGAAGTTCGGTCAAAACCGTTGCACAGGACTGGTTTCAACCTTAGGCCGGCTCCTCCGACGAATTCCTGACCTCCTTTCAAAGAAGAGGTGAAGGTCGAGCAGGCCTACAGTCTTTCATTTTTACAAATTATTTTAGGAAACGTCTTAAATATGTTTTTTCTGATGCAGTTTGATCGCCATCAAATATAAATGTTTAGCGCGGTCCAGCCTCATTCTTAAAATTGGATGTTCTTATAGGAAAAAGGGTGGACAATCAACATGTACTTAAGTAATAAAGTTTCGTCTTTCAAAAGCTACGATAAAGGGATTAAATTTGCAATAGTTTTGAAGTCATCCTTCCGCTTACCTCTTCTTTAGGCGCCAAATTATGAGGTTGCGAAGGCACGTGTCTACTCTCAACTCAGAACAAATAATCCTTCAGCACGGGTCCAAGAAGTCCATCATTAGCGGACTTAATGGCAACCAAAGTTTGATACCTTATCCTCACCAGCCTCTATAAAGACAAAATTAAAATTTTGACTCTCATTTTTCAGAAATGGTCAGATTAACATGAGAACCCACAATTTTAGTAAAAGATGGAAAATGTAGCAATTGTCGATGAAAAGGTCGCTTTGGCTTATAGGGCAAATTATTTCTAACCACTTGAAAACACTGATTCAATGATTCAAAGTGGTATTGAGAAAAAAAAACTATTATTTGCAAAAGGTGAAAGGTAAATTATGGTTAGAAGCAAATATTCTCGTGGAGAGAGAGGGAAAAAAGATATACGACAAACACGAGAGGAAGAATCTACTCGAAACACGCATATTTCAGTTTTGTTTGTATAAAGGAACGAGAAGGAGGAAATGGTTTGAGAGCTGATGATTTCGTTGTCAAGTGAATTAAAAAACGTAGGTCTTTGAAAAAAACATTCTTACTGTTTTTTCGAGAATAGGGTAGACGTTTGGCCTGGGCATTTCTTGCATTGAAAGTTATAGTGGAACTGATTATTTCATAAGATAAATTGTGATTAAACGTGAGCTATTGATGAGAGCCAACGACGCCTTCGTGAATGTTAGCAAGCACTATGATCTCCTCCTGATTGGTTGATAATCATATGTAATCTCACTAGCATACTTTTGTGGTAGTAAATTTAAATTATGCAAGCGATTCTAAGAAAAAGTCTGCTTTGCATGAATAAATCAATTTAAAGTTCTCAGTACAACCCCCCGACATAGTCTCAGGCTTGATTATGTACTAGTCAATTCCAAAACCGCTAGCGCTTTAAATCCCCCACCCACGTGCACCAGCGACTATTCAAAAATTTTCCCATGAGTCATAACCAAATGTGAATACACTGTATCCTACCAGGATCCTACTAAAGACAACCGTGACCGAAATACCTTAAATCTCGGAAAGCTGTCTTACAGAAGTTTATTCATTTATATAAAAGTTGTTCATTCCTGAAAGCTCACATTTAAGAGGCTTTTTCAAAGGACCCATGAAAGGGGTGCACACGCTAAATGCAGAGAGAATAACGAAATCCTTTTGGTTGCGACGCTGACCAGCGTTTTGACACAAAAGTCAAATGCCCGACTGCGCGGGCCCCGTTTTAGGTCAAATTCCCCATTGCTTGGAGCAAAACTCCAGTCAAATGCTGGGGGTATGCCTGGGGCGGAGGGAGGGATGGGCGGTTTTGGAATTGACTGGTATATATTCTCCCAGCTGCTGTCTCGCGTTATTTCCTGCTATGCAAATACTGAAAATGTTTTTAATCGCCTAAAACATTTAGGCGAACTGTAAACAAACGTTAAAATTATTTTAACGTTTCTTTACAGTTCGCTTGAGTTATCGAAAACGAAGTTTCTTAGAAACAGTGAAATAAAACTCTTCGTCGCCCACTTTCAGTTCTACCAGCTGAAAGCGATTCAGCTGGTCTTTGATTTTACACACCTAATTAGTACTTGAAACTAGACTGCTAAACTACTTCAAAACGTTAAAAGGCGCTTTAATAAGCCCTTTCCAAAAGATGAAACTCTCTTTTAGGCCTTGGGCAAACGTCGAACTTTTCAGGAGACAAACCAAACTTAGTGAGTTCAGTTCATGAAAAGCTCGACGTCTCGGGCTCATTTGAGTTCGTCTGAATGAGTTTGGATTGTCCAACACGTTCTATCCGTCTGCTTCAG